TTTTGTTAGTTTTTTCATTTAAAAAATTCAATCTTGAAGATGAAAAAAACGTGCGAAAACATTTGAACGAACATTTTAGAACTTACCATTCAAAAAATTATGTAAAAATTAGAAATCGCGCCAGAACCCAACTCTCAGCCTGTAGATTAGGTAATCCGACATCCTCGCATTTGCACACGGTTCATTCACAAAACTGCAACACAATCTACATCGGGTGAAGCAGAGCTACACAAGAAAAAGATAACCTACTGAAGAAAAAAGGTTCACTGCTTACCAGGATAAGTTTGTATCGCAATGGTTGAATGTCATACCGTGTAAAATTTAAGAAATACCTCAGTTTCATGGGTTGTGAATTTAAAATAATTGGAATATTTGAACATAACAAATTGAGCTGATTCGATGAGCTGCGGGATACAAAATTTTTCTTGCTTTTCCGGACACTGAGGAAAATTTGCATTTTTCAAACAGGCGAGGTATTTTGGAAATTTACAATTCTTATTTACTTGACTTTTTTGAAACACAAAAAGGTAAATTAGGTACAAAAAACTGGATGACACTTTGTTTCAAAAACTCCAATCCTGATGACGCACAAAATGTGCAAAAAAATTCAAATTAAAATTTTAAAAATTTGATTATTCAAAAACTTATGTATAATTAGACTAGGAGCCAGAATCCAACTCGGGACCTGTAGATTAGGAGTCCCGCAACCTCGCATTTGCCACCCGGTTCATTGACAAAACTGTAACACAATCTAATCGGGCGAAGCCGAGCTATACTAGAAAAAGGTTACCTACTGAAGTAAAAAGGTTCACTTCACTGCTTACCAGGATAAGTTTGTATCGCAATGGTTGAATGTCATACCGTGAATAAATCTAAGATTGAATGTTTCAAATCAGCAGCTTAGAATCGCAATTAAACTCCGCCCGAAAAGATGTAAGCGAAGATGGATGTCATGGCCTATCTTGCCTCAAAAGTGCAGGGAGATTATCTAGGCATTCAAATTTGAATGCACTTTTAAAGCTAAGTCTTTACTCCATCAAGATTTCTTTTGAAACCGCGACACACCCACAGGACAGATCAGAAGCGACAAGACGGTTTGACGCTCATCCAACGGACTGTTCGTAGGCAGCTTTTGTGGGTGTAACGGTAGCTGACTCCTAATCCCCTAGTAAAAGAGCGCATACTCGCTTTGTAACCCAGGAACGGCCGCGTTGGAAGATCAGATTTTGACTGGATAACGTGATGAAGAGACTTCTGAAGTGACCAACAACAAGGATTACATGCAGTTATCAAGGAACAAAGACTAAATGATTCAACTTGGCATCATACCTCTGTCACTTTCTCATGAACTAGTCTTCCATCTCTAATAAAAACAGAACGGTATAGGGGAAACAGACACCAATGGCAAAACAGACCTGTATAGGGAAATATTATTTCATTTAAAGAAAAATTACAAACAAGACATTCGAGCTTGCAGAAATATGAAAGCACTAAATTCAGACTTCAGCATTAGATCATTCCAACGTCAGTCTACCATGAATAGCAAAATAGACCTCTAGTGGGATAAAAAAACTATTTCAATCGAAGAAAAAGGACAAACAAGACATTCGAGCTTGACTTCAACTTAAGATCATACTGCTGTCACCTTATCTTTAACTACATATTCCTCTTCTACTGCAAAACGAACCTTGTAGCGCGCAATGGTGATTTTAATTTAAAAAAAAGGACAAAAAAAGACATTCGAGCTTATAAAAACAAGGGAGCACCGAATTCAGACTTCAAATCAAGATCATACCGCTGTCATTTTATCATAGTTGGAAAAAGAGATTTGTTGTGGTAAGAAAATTATTTCAATTAGGAAAAAGGACAAACAAGACATTCGAGCTTGACTTCAACTTAAGATCATACTGCTGTCCTCTTATCTTTAACTACATATTCCTCTGTTACTGCAAAACGAACCTTGTAGCGCGCAATGGTGATTTTAATTTAAAAAAAAAGGACAAAAAAGACATTCGAGCTTATAAAAACAAGGGAGCACCGAATTCAGACTTCAAATCAAGATCATACCGCTGTCATTTTATCATAAATGGAAAAATGAGATTTGTTGTGGTAAGAAAATTATTTCAATTAGGAAAAAGGACAAACAAGACATTCGAGCTTGACTTCAACTTAAGATCATACTGCTGTCCTCTTATCTTTTACTACATATTCCTCTGCTACTGCAAAACGAACCTTGTAGCGCGCAATGGTGATTTTAATTTAAAAAAAAAGGACAAAAAAGACGTTCGAGCTTATAAAAACAAGGGAACACCAAATTCAGACTTCAAATTAAGATCATACCGCTGTCATTTTATCATAAATGGAAAAAAGAGAATTGTTGTGGTAAGAAAATTATTTCAAATAGTGAAAAAGGACAAACAAGACATTCGACAATCGAGCTTGACTTCAACTTAAAATTATACCGTTAACTCTTTATCATGAACTACAGATTCCACTTGTACTGCAAAACTAGAGTTATTATGATTTCAATACTTTAATTTTATTCATCGAACTACCAAATGGAGTCGGTATTGCACGTTTATTTGGCAAAAGCTGACTATCAGAAGTTAAAAACACAACAGCCGAATTTACAACTGCTAGAAAGACAGCAAAACTTGCTCTAGTTCAGTAGCTATTCGCAAATGACCCACCTTGATATAAAACAGGAGAGTCGAGTTGTCTTGTGGCGTTAAAGAGCAACAAGAGTGGCTCCAGGAAGCATTTCTGAAGAGCAAGCAAGTTCTATAGTCATCAGTATAGCTTGACGAGGTACCTTCCCAGTGCACTGATCTTGTCGTCCACATTTCATTCGAACTTTACAAAAACTCTTCAAAATTATTTTTCTTTTTTTATGCATCATGAAGAATCAAATTTTTGGTAATATCTTTGGAACGACCAGAGATCAGGAAAAACTGACAGGCAATTAGGGTGTGAATGCTCAAAGAATTCCTTGCCAATCAGGATGATACGACAATAATTAAATAAGAAATTTTGTAACCTTTAAAAAAAAATTCCTGTCAACATCTAAGAGTTTCTGTTTTTTGTTCTTTTATTGTTATTCTGTAAAGAGAGAGTAATTTTGCATTTAAAGAAACAGGACAAACAAGACATTCGAGCTTGACGAAATATGAAAATACGAAATTCAGACTTCAAAAAATTTGCACTATAACAACGCTAGAAAAATTTCGAACATTTTTTTTCCTCTCATTTTTTAATCCAAAGCTAACCAAGTTTGAGAAAAACGAAATTGAGGTTTTTCGTTTTATTTTGTTTTAGCCGATTGATTTTCATATGCGTGCTATTAATGCTTGTTAAGCTGAAAAAACAATGAAAATTCAACGAAACGCAAAAATATGTCAAAAGCAGTCCAAATTAATGAAATATATCATCAGAGTTTGGTAATTTTTTTGCTGCCTACTGCAGAAAAAATTTCCAATATGCCAAATATTTGAATAGAGATCATTTATTTAAAACTTATTTTGAAAACACCATGTAGACTGATTGGAAATTATGATAAATTTAACGAAATATTTCTACAGATTCGATGGTTAAATTTTTTCTCAAACTATTCATCTTATTGGAATCTAGCTCTTTCTCACAATATCAATGAGCTTCAAGGACACTCAATTCAATTGACAAACGAGTTGTTATATTTTAGGCCAAAAAATAGGCCGAAAAACCAAATATATATACACACACATATATATATATATATATATATATATATATATATATATATATATATATATATATATATATTGTCAAAAAACGAGAGTTTGATTTGTGGAATCAAAAGCTCTTCAATCAAAACGATCGATCCTATCGAAATTTGCAATTATATTATCTGTGTTGGCTACCATTTTTGACTCTGCTGATTTTTCCTGGTCACCATTTGATTCCTTTTTCCTGCTCACCTTTTTTCGAGTTCCAGCTAATATGTGATATAATTATTTTTTTTTCTATTTTACAGTTGCAATTTGGAATTGATTCTTTAAAAAAAATTCGGATGAGTGTTTTTTGCCTATCTATGTATACAAGTAATCAATTTTCAAAAAATATATGGAAAAGAAGGCACCTCATTCGACTCGTTATTGAACAATGCTTGACATTTGATTTTTCTCACTTTGACTGAACCCTTCATTTTTTTGTTTCAATCGCTCATCCTCTTCGAGCATATATTGAACTCTCCCCGGGTTGCCCACCATAGAAGATAACGCGCAACCATGCACATCCATGCATGATTTGTATGGAAAATGACTAATCATACGTAGCACATAAGTTGGTTTCGAAAACCCTCATTTTTTCCACCATTTACAAAACCACCATTTTTCCAAACAAAAGCAACTTTAATTGAGCATGCAATATGATAACCAACACCAAAATTGTTTCTTCAGGTCAATATGTTTTTTATGCATTGATAATCTTTCATATTTCTGAAATGCTTGTTTTGTTTTAGACAGTTTTATAAAAGTTATTCAGCCATCACCAGGTATGTTTTCCGGCTTCATCAGGTAAAATTTTCTACATCGGATAATATTGTGCTTTGCTTGGTAACCTAATTTTCGCTCTGAACGGTAGAAAAAAGATTTTTACTACCAACTTCTTTGAAGTCTTTCAGAGCACTTTTTGGATGCCCGCGAAAATATTGAATTTATTTGATTATTCAGTTTCTATGTCGCGCCAAATATGATTCTTTGTTAATCATACGTCGCGCCATATACTTTTCCATAGTAAACATCCGTCGTGCCATGCATGATACCATTGTAACCATACGTCGCGCCATGCATGATACCATAGTAACCATACCTTGCAAGCATCCGTGGTGACATATACATTATCAACAGCCCTGTTAAAGGTATCAATATTGTCTAATTTGAAGTCGCCCATAATAAAAAAAAGTGCAACTGCATGCGCCATGCATGGAAAGTTTTTAAAAAAATATTTGGTTTGATTATAATTATTACAATTTTTTAACAATTTAAGTGACATAGTTGCACAAAGAACAGCGCATGTTTTGAAATATTTTGCACCCAATATCTTTTATGATTTAGTGGCTTTTTTGATAGACACTATCATGCAGCCTATGTTGCTGTTGTTTCTTCCCCCAAATTCCCACTGCAGACCATTCAGGTCCAGTATCTCTTCTACTATCGGTTTGATCCTGGGTCCCCCCTCCTCCGAGTGGTTACCCCTCCCTGTGATGACCTGAAAGAAAACATTTAACTTAAGTTTTAGCAACGGCAGAAAATCAACATTTATCTGCTTTTTAGCCGGCGAAAATTCGTAACAAGCGACAAATCATAACAGGCGACAATTCGTGACAGGCGAGAATTCGCAACAGTAGATTAAGCGGGGACCACTGATTCACGGGCAGAATTCCTCTCATTCCGGATGTATGCGCAGCGGAGCAAGCGCCCGGGTTGAACAAAACTTCTATTCAAACAATTTCCATATATATGAGAAACTTCTTGTCATACAATTCCCTGCGTACAAAAATTGTATGAAATCTCTATGATAAGCAATTTTCGATAAATGAAAATTGTATGATAGGAGCTTTTCCATAAACCAAAAGCTGATTTGTTTTCTTCTAAAATTAATTTCTGAAAAGTTTTGTGTCGTTTTTGTAATTGAATACAAGTGACAAAGACCTTGGTTTACCCAAAGCACCAACAGTTGGACGGTCTTGCATTTACAATACATAGAACACGACCTGAATTGTCTTTTAGCTGTCTTTCACAAATAGTATAAAGAAAGTAACAAACTTTTGAAATTTGACAAAAACTTTTCAAAGATGATTATTTTAAAAACTTGGATTTTTAAATTATCAGACATTGATTAAAGCATACATAAACACGCCATACAAAATAAATAGAAATCTTCAGCGTTTTTGAAAAACATTATACAGCGAAAAGAAAAAAAACCCACCATTATCGTATCCAGGACTACGTTATGCACACAAGAAATTAAATTTATCATGCAAAAGTTTTATTGGAAAATGTTTGTTTGTACACAAAATTCGACTTGCAGTTGAAAAAAAAAACAAAAAAACTTTTAGTGGTAATTTCAAATTTACTAGGAAAATTTTTAGTGTCCCCATCAAAAAATGCCAGTCATACAATTTCCATATATGCGAACTGTATGATAAGCAATTTTTTTCAAAAAACAAAAAACCTCGGTTTTTTATCACCAGACTGTTTTAATAGAATCAAACAGCCGTAGAAATAAGTTTATATCTTTTTCAACCATTTTTAGAAATTGTATGAAAATTTTATGACAAGCATTTTTCCACATACTTGATGTATGGAATTGTATGATAAGCATTTTTAGTGTCTGGAGGTCAACCCGGGCGTTTTCTTCTTGCCAATGCCTTCTTACGATTTGTCGCCTGTTACGATTTTTCGCCCTACCATATTTTTACGTTATTGTGATTCAGTTTTAATTTCAAATCAGCTTCAAACTTCAAAAGTACTATCTAATCCTTTTTGCTTATTCATGTTACAATACATATTTGCCAATACATTTTTTCAATTTTTTTTCAAGAAAACGATGATCAATGATGAACATGATCATAAAGTTATTAACTTATGATAAAAAATTGAGCCCCGCATTAATATCTAAATTACCAAAATAACTGTCTGCAGCAATTATTTTTTCTCTTGGCGTAGTCAACTTACTTTGAACAGTTTGTATCCTCTGCTGTCGACTACTTTGTAGCAGTTGATGAGTAGTTCACACGCCTCTTCCACGTAGAACCCGTGCAGGTCTAGTTCGGGTATGTCTCCTTCGAAGGACAGCGGGATCTCGTCCACACTCATCGGGTGTCCCAGTCTCTTGCCTGAAAAAACAGTATCGTTTTCGTTTCACTTCAATTATTGAGTTATTTCAATTTCTTGGTTTGAAAACAATATTTTTATATTGCAGTAAAACTTTACGATTACATCTCATAATTTTTGTGACAGGGAATTAAAAACTACTGTTTTTAGTTGGCATGAAAAGATTAACAATGCAGCTGCTCTTCAGAATATAATTATAAATTATCGAAATTATGCTTTGTATGCTATTACCAAAGTATAATTTGAATATCGCAATTGCGTGTTGGGGCAAAAGTATTTTTCAAATAAAGGCAAGTGTCTGATTAGTTATCTGAACAATTAGCTGATATTTAGAGATATATCCACAAAACTCTTCAAATGGATTTTCTAATGGGAACCCATCTGAAGAGCTTTGTTGGCGATGCAATCTCAAAAAATCGCTGGTTGTTCAGAAAAAGAAATCTCCGAATTTTGTCAAGTTTGTACCTGTTCTCAGTTCGACTGGTTTTCCTGCTGTGGAATCAGTATCAATTGTGTATCGAACTTTCTGCAATTCACTAAGAAGTGATTCTTTCTTGGGGACATCCTTGTGTTTGAAAAAGTAGACAAGCAGGCCACCAACAACAATGAAAGCTAAGAAACCGATGAGCACCGGAACCAACATTGTTAAAACTGGTTTGAATATCTTGTCTTTACTTATACTACTAGATAAAAATTGTAATAAAAGTATATATCGTTGTTTTCAAAGCGCTTTTGAATTTTATATTAGATAAAAACGCAATAAATTTAAAAAAAATTGAGTAGTAGAGGATTGTGTAATTTTGCAAGTGTAAAGTCGCAAGTGTTTAAAATCAACAGCAACACACATTCTCAAATACTTGACCTGAAACGTATCAGCTTTATGCTTTTTTGTTGCAATTATTTGACACTTGCGAAAATCATCAGGCGAAAATCAGATGCGAAAATCATCAGGCTTAATAAACTAGTTTATCCGGCCATCAATTAGTTAACGAGATCATTGGTTGAAAGTGGGGGGAACTTGTCTTCTGGTGTTTAGTTTTCTTTTTATACTTTTTCGTTTTTCCACGCAAAATTAGATACCATAAAAATCACAAAATGGTTGGACTGATTTATTATACAAAGAACTTCGAGGGCAAAAAAGCAAACGAACATGCTTATAATAGAGTTTTATGCCGTGAAAGTTTAGTTTTGTTTCAAAAAAACACGTTTTAAAGTATTTTAAGCGCCATCTTCATTGAAAAAAAAAATTGTATTTTCAGGAGCAGCCGGCTATTGTAACTTGACGAACAATCGGAATGTTGCTTAACGTATATTTTTCAATTCCATAATTTGTTTCGTATTACGTGCGATGAAGTTTGAAGTTTGTTTTATATAGAGCCTGAAACCACACCGCTATATTTCTCGTTTCTCTTGAATAGAGGGAAGGAACACAGTCTTCATATGTCTTTTTTGCAATTTTTTCCCAGCCAATGTCTGCTATCTTAAAAAATCGTTTCAGAGGTTAAAGGTTTGTGTAACAAAAAACATAAGGGTTTGGATTCAGATTCATACAAAAAGGGTTCAAAATGATTCTCATCGGGTCGAGAATAACTGGTCAAAACATTTTGGATTTTCAGACTAAATACCAACTGAACTGCTTATTAAACGAAAACTTATAACTTTTCTGTCTGGGTTAGTTTTGAAAATTCCATTTTGATTATATATGATTTTTATGAAGGGAACCGACTTCTAAAAAAATTCTTTCAAGGTTTCTTCACCAGTGCCGGATAACGAAAAGATAGTATAAATTATATTTCCTTACAAAACTGCTCGAATCAGGGCAAAACCTTGAATACTATGGCTGCTGTTTCAGGCCAACAAAACTTTAGAGTAATTTATTTGATTCAAATTTCTCTCATTTTTTTCACCACACGCCCTGTTAAGTATAAACACTATAGCATTGAATCATGCAATGTTTTAGAAAGAAGGAACTGTCCGCTTTGCTTCAATTTGAAATATTTGAATTGATTTCCCACTCTCTAATGTTCTGCGCATTTATTAATCTAATTTCCACCAAGTGGCAAATTTCAAATTCCCTTAACTGTACAAAAAAAGATCGCAGGCGGCAACTTTTTTTGTATTTTGATGTAGGTGTGAAAACACGAAAGGTTTATATATTTAATTCAAAAGCAACTGTATCGTTCAAATATGTATGCCAGACGAGATAGCGATCACAAGTTCAATCTAGCAGATCAACAGACAGAACCATAGATTTTACATAAGTAAACTAATTTTGTCCCAATGTCATAGAGGCAACCAAAATAAGTTTTCGAAAATTTTAGTTTCTTAGATATAAAATTTATAACAACCAGAACACTGCTGCTTACTGTATACAAAAAAGCACTTGTATATAAGTATATTTAGGTTATCAGTTTCGTAGAATTTTGATTTGAGTTTTTTGGGCTTCAGCTGCCGGCCCTCTCCCCGGGCTGTTTTTGACTTTTATTTGCAGTTTTTTTCCAACAAGATTTATCATCACGCCACCTATTTAGGTGACTCCTTTCCACTGCCTTGTCGATCTTCGCGTAGGTTCCCCCGGTTGTACTTTGTTCAACTCTTGGTTTCCCAATGTTCCCCCTCGCTCATTTTCTGAAGACTCGGCTGTCTCGTCTTTCTTGCTTCCGTCGCCAGCTTGTTTTCGTCTCGTCCATTGCTTTTTTCGTTAATTCTGCTGGCATCAACAACTCATCGCATTTTCTTGCTCCCTCTTCTGGCCCCATCATCGATCGTTTTTTCAGCGCTTTTTGTTTCGGCTTTTTGCTCCCGTCGATAAACTGATCGTCATCTTCCGTTATGGCTTTCGAGCTCGGATCTGGGATGCTCGTAGAACTGGGACCCTGGGTTGCCATGGCCTCCGTTTCGTTATCCTCGGCTTCCCATCTAAATGAAACACCGCTTCTTCTTAGCAGAGATCCTTTTTTCCTTGAACCGTATGGGGGGTCCCATTTTCATTTTTAGAAAATAGGCGTTTTTACCTCCTTGGTTTTTTTCGATATTTTATCCCGCTCTTCTGATTAAGCTCAGTTGTACTAGTTTTCTGCCGTTTCAGCCACGATGGTGCATTTGGGCGTGTCAACTCTGCGTTTCTCTCTGCCAGTTCGTGCTCGTCTAGTACCTGAGGTATCCTTCTAATTTGTGGTGCATGCACTAGGTCACTTCTTTTTTCCTAGTCCAAGTTCACTTCGACTTCCGGTTGTCCACTCGCCTCATCGAAGCATTGTAATTTTTGTTATTTTACATTCATCCAGTCTAGATTTTCCAGTGACGGTTTCTCCATGAGATTTCAGCTTTGGCCTCTCTACAATGGTATGTCTCGAACGATGTTATATTAAATTTTGTGTGTGGTACGATACGTAATGCGCTCAAAAGTCTTGATATCATTTTTTTTGAGTTTCTCATTTCCGTCTTCTCGTAAATATGCAAAGTTTTAAGTTTTCATTGGCAAGATGGTTCTTCAGGTCATAAGTGTAGCGCGGTGAGCTTTTAACGGGATTTTATATGTTCCAGTACCTCGTAATTGGAGAAATTTTGAATTTAGTTTGGACTCTTGGTTAACATTTATTTTCCTTGGCTGCAAATGTGTTTCTGTTTTAAGGGTTTCAAACACTTTTTGCAGCCGCGAACATCTTCTCCGTCCCGAGATGGTTGAAGTGTAGTCTGTTAGTATTGAAGTTCACAAATCCTTCGGGATTGCCAACCCGCCGTTCATCCAGAGGCAGTTTCCCTTATAGAAAAGTAGTTGTAGTGTTGCATGTAGCACTGTGCTAACCGGTTAACCGCCTTCTCTGCCTTGGATTTCTGTCCCTGATGGCAGCTCGGATCGTTTTCAGTATTGGATTTGGCCTCCACGAGTTTTAAGCAGAGAATTCCGGGAATTCTAATTTATTGACGGCAGGACAGTCTGTAGGAGCGATCGACTGGTTCCATTTTTTTGCTTACATCGGGGTAGGAGATGCCCAAGAACTGATAAGGGAAGGAAGTGGTTGAGGAAATGATCAAGTTGAGATTCTTGTAGGCGCTTGATTTTGTTTGCAGATTTTTGGGGGAATTATTTCGATGACCAAGTCCGAGCTGAGAATTGGGGGTTGACTTCTCTCGATTGTAAACAACATTAATGTTTAAAGACCCTGTTTGGTTTGAGACATTTTTAAACATTGACGTTTATACCGCATCGAATTTTTTTTGGCGAAGTATAATTTGGCATTTTAGTAAACGGAAGTTTAGTTTTGAAATTAGGATAGCAACTGTAAATAAGAATTAGACAACATCTGTTTTTGATTAAGCTATATTTGCATATATCCTTCGGTGTGCAAAAGGCACGCTTGTGATTGATTGACCGGCGGTTGACTGATGCGACGCCCTTTTGCGACTGAGTCGAAATCGGTTTGGTAATTGCATGTTCAATTTCTTCGGATTTTGATTGCATATGAGTATCTCGCGTGATCGGTTGCATGACCGTAATTTTACGCTCAGAACTTTCTTTTTTGAAGTTTGGTTGACAATCTGACTTCAAGGTTTTAACTGGTCCGTAGGATACAGGGCTTCATTAACCCTTTTAGTTTTGAGTACTGTAAATTTGGCGTCATAAGAACATGTTTCCGGCTCTAATAGTGAAGTGAAAAGCGATAGGTAATGGGCCCACCCAATTGCGCTCCTTGATGTTGTTTGACTGTCAGTTGGTAGGGTACTGAGCGATCGTGCCACCGCGTTAATCTGCTGAAAAACGTTTTTTCTTTTCTTTTGGGGACAAATTTAGGAGGGCTAATAGCGCTTTATGATCTGATTTGACTGTAAAATATCGCCCGTAAGTGTTTTTTACGAATGTGTTCGGTGCCCCATCCAACGGCGAGTAGTTCTAATTTGTTCGTTGATTATTTATTTTCTTGTAAGATATCTTGAAGCAAATGATATCATGTGCCACTCCACCCGTCCCAATTGTTTCGCACTAGAACGGCTCCCAGACCGTCGTGGCTGGAGTCGCGGTTTATGTGGGTTTTCCGCTGAATGTCAAAGTGTCTGAATTCAACAGTGTATTCTGCTAAGCGCTTTAGCTGTTGAAAAGCGTTCTCGCATGTCGGCGTTCAACTAAAGTCATGGTTCACGCTTGAAAGCGGTCTAAGTGGAGAACTAACTTCTGCTAGTTTAGGTAAGGATTTATATTGAATAAAGACAGATCCCACAAGTGGCCTTAATTGTTTCCTAGACTTGGGGGGGGGCTTTAAATCTTTAATCGCTTGTGTTTTTCTGACCAAAGGTATTACTACCTCTTTTCCAATCTTAAAATCTAACCACCTGATTCGTTTTTGGCGAATTCACATTTTCGTGGCTTCAGTGCGGTGTTTGCTACATGCAGTTTTTTAATATTTTTTTAAATTTTGGCAATCGGTTTGATCATTTTTCTTTATGCAAGACTATTATATCGTCTATGAATGCGTTTGCGTGTGGGAACTCCCTGAGTAAGGAGTCGATAGTTTTTTGAAATTCCGGCGGCATTGTAAAAAGCCCGAGAAAACCGTTCATGAATCGGTGCGTTCCCGTAAATTTTCCCCCTACTAGTGGAAAATTGCACTCTTCGCTTGTTTTCTGATGTAATGCTACTTGCCCATACGCGTATGCGAAGTCCAATGTAGTGGAATATTTGCCACCTGCTTTCCGTTCCGCAATTATCTGGCTAATTAGGTCTTCTAACTCGTCGATATTTGGCATCTGGTACTCATTACTCTTAAAATTTTTCGCAAGTTGTTTGAAATGATAACAAAAGTTAGTTGCTGCTTTGATGTTTGACCAAAAAATAACAGTTTGATTCAAAAATTCATGTATAGTTTTTACAGTACAAATGAACTAAATTGAGTTTGTTCGGAAGATTTTAACTTCTCTCAAGCTTGTGGACATCAGAATAATTGAGAAAAAATAATCTAGTACTTTTCGAAATTTTCATCCAGTTTCTATCGTAAAAATGTTCAGACGGTTTTTAGTAAAGATAGGAACCGGATTTCACTGACATTCAACCAGAGGTGTGAGAACAATTGAAAATCTCGTTATTCGCTATTGCGACTACTTTAATCTTTTCTGGTCACTAATCTTTTTATTTAGTTCGCTATCGCTTTTTAAAAAGATGAACGAAGTTGAATTTCCGCAACAGAAAACTTGACAATTTTCTTAAACATAACAAAGTATGTTTGGATCTTTGTTCGTCTGTCAAGGATCAACTGCGACCTCAATAGGTGAAAAACTAGCCTGCTTGAGAGCTAGGCGAAATTTCGCGTGAATTTCCGTGAAGGGATGTCTAATGATATGGTTTTAATGCTAGTTTTTTTAGTTTTAAAAAATACCACTTATGGAAGCTCTGAAAAAATACTAAATTATAAGCCTCAGTCGCTATACTGACGCTGTTGCTTCTATGATCGATCACTATCGCTTTAGCTACTTGAACGTTCATTTTCAGTACGTTATCAGCATTGCTTTCGCTATCTCACCTCTACATAGACTACATTTTGCCTATTCTCCGACCCCTATTACCTTGTATGCTCTTCTTTATAAGTCTAAAACTATTTAATTGTTCCATTTATTTTTTGCGAATTAGATTTCGAATTAAGGCAGAATTTTGACTTAAAACTGACTATAAAGCTGCTTACAAATCAGATTCTATCTTATTTTTATTTTAGTTTATTTCCACAACTAAACAAAGTCTGCAGACAGAAAAAAGTGAAAAAGAGTCATTGGGGGGATGGTAATGTTGATTTTGTGAACCAAATGCACCACTTCAGTCCATGTATACAATAATGCAGCCATCGTTTTTCGGGTCAACTTGGTGATTCCAGCCCAGCTGAGAAGCCATGTTTAGCACAGCAGGTTTGATCTGCGGGACTCCGTTTTCTGAATGGATGCCTTTTCCTGGAACAAGTTAGAATCAATTTTAAGATCTTTGCCTGAATATGAAATAAAAACAAAGACAAACACAAAAAATGAAAAAAGACGAAGTGTTTTGCTGATTCAATGCAGTCCCCTAACAAGAAATGAAAAAAGTGAGTTAAATTTTTACCTGTTATCACTCTAAGCGCATTGTCTCCGTTGTTTTTGCATCGCGTGTAGAAATCCTCAACTTCAGAGCAAGCTTTGCTTTTGTTCAGCCCGTGCAGGTTCAAAAAAGGTAATCTAACACGTGACTTGAAGCGGCTTTGATTGCAGCGGACACTGGGAGAGCTTCGGTTTCTTCTTGGAGGCTAGAAACGCAGGGTGGGTTGTTTTTATAAAAGAAACATTGGAAATGTGACGATGGGACTAAAGCCCTTCCCGGGGTTAAACTTGAAGAAAATTATTTCGACATGTACCAATAATTGATGCTAATATGTAATTTTGTAGTATTTACCCAATAGCGAAGAATTTTATTAAAAAAAAATTCGGGAAAAATTCATCTGTTGATAGTTTTTAACGTTTTGAACAGGTTTAGAGTTCTTCGACTATCGATTTTAAGCCTTCAAACGAAGATTCAACAGACAATCTTTTTTAAGTTTTGGAAGAGAACGACATTTTTCTGAGGTGATGTGTTTCATTATGTTTAACCTTACGACCTTCGGTATTGCTTATATAACTGCCAACTATGTCTTGAACGGACCATCGATTGATCATTTTGTTGTTCGCGTTGGTTTGAGACGTTTTTGTTCTTGTTCTTTCAATTCATTAGCTAGTTGTACATAGATTTTTAATACCTAGATATACTATCCTAACATTTCTTTATGGTGCAGTCAGACGATTCGAGCCTGCGGGGAGTTCATTTATTCTGGCCGAACCACACTATGGAGCCGCCATGTTCCTAGACACACTGAAACGATCAACTCCAATTGTCGATTATAGCGATAGAGAATCAGGATTTTGACAACGTTATCGGAACAGAAAACCAGACTCCCAATTTAGAACAGGCAATAGGAAGCGAGCTGGACACGGAAAGAGTCAGTCAGGAGGCAAGGAAAATGAACACGATGAAACCCTACGAAGCCGACGAGGAACAGCGGATGAATGAAGAAAAGGAAAAAATTAATGGTTTGAGAAGAGCAGAAGTAGACAAGAAGTTAAGATCAATTTTATTCTTAGCACTTCGTTACAAAATAAAATAGGTATTCGCTCAAAATCACTCTAGATTAAGAATCTTATTAATCTTTTTCAAATAATTTTGGGGACCTCTTGAACCTAGCTTTCCACAAACCTCCGAATGTCACATTTGAACTTTACAACCTTTTAAATCGGATACAAAGAGATAGGGAATCTTTTGAGCACTTCTGAGAACCGTTATTCGACCTTGCCAGCACGTGTAACATTAGAGTGTCGGAACAAGCAGAGTAATATGAGAAGAGTAATATGAGTTATTATGAGAAATAATGAGGCCCAACGGAATCTACGATCAGCAACCATCAGTCCCCCGGAAAGCCTTAAGTCAGGCTTCGAACCATATAAAGTAAATAACCATATAAAGAAGGAACCAAATCTCAGCCTTGAAAGATAACATGGGTATGAATTGCGGAAAACCATTTACGAAGGAATACCTAAACGTCTGTCCAGCTAGAGAAACCATCCGTAAAAATCGTACTTCGAGAGTACACTTTGCGAACTTTTGTTGATCAAAGTTAAACGACCCAGTGTAAATATTGTAAATGGTTCTGTCCATACTGATAATTGTGAACACATCCCATTGGAAGATTCCTGGAGCAATATCCAATAAACGTGTAGACTAACACCTGGAACTAAAACGATGAGTGACGACAACGATTGTTCAGTTATTTGTATTAGACTTTTTATGACCTAAGTGGAATAGAAACTAAGAATTTTTGAATATAGGACTCGGATGGGAGATGTTTGTAAATATGAACATACTGTAAGTTCGGCAAGCCCAGTTAGCTTCTTAAAGCAAAATGTGTTACTTTTGAGCTGAAACTAAGTTACGAAAACTAAAGATACACCCAGTGGAAAAATGAATCAAATGGTTATACTGAAAGGTTAAGGACAATATAATTAAATTTTTTTTTCTGGAAAACCATAGTCAGAATTCAATCCAACGGGTGAAGATACGAAGAAGCTCGATTGTTCATCACAGAAGGACACAAAGAAATCTCTTGAGCATTGACAGTTCTCCAAAGCTTGGGATAGTAAGATACCTCAACCTGAAGATACACTAAGTAGTAAAGTGGATGTAGCAGATATATTGAGGGTTTACGGACAAAACAATTAATTATTTTTGGGCAAACCATAGTCAGAATTCAATTTAACGGGTGGCGATACAAAGAAACTCCCTTTTTTCATCACATGAGGACAAAAAAAAAGATCTTGGACAATGAAAATCCTCCAAAACTTGAGATAGAAGTAAAGCGAAAGAAGTGCCAGTACCACTCTTTTCAGTCAGCTACGCACCGGTAAGTCTAATAACCTAGCATGTTTGACAAATGAGTTTTTTACGAGTTTCAAAGATGTGTTTAATAAAATTGGCATGATACCTTGTGATAGGAAAGTTACTCAAATCCATTCTTCGCTAAACCGATACAAGCAAAATCCAGAAGAAAGCCATTATAATCTTTATCGGGAGTGAACAAAAAATTAAACAGAAAAGAAATCGAAGGCCATATTGAAATATTCGAGAAATGTGACGAGAAAGAGAAAACCAAAAGTCATAACCAGAAAGAAAGACGGCTCAATTAAACTTACATTATGTTCAAAGTTGCTGAACAACCAGATTTTTAAAATTAAATACCAGTTGCCAACCTCCATAAATTGATAAATAGTGTCGGACTTCAAATGTTCGAAAAGACGACGTGTAGTCCTGGCTTAGTAATCTCGACCTAATAAAGGCTTATAGCCAATTCAAACTGGGCTATAGAACTAGTAAACAATGCAAAATTTTGCATAAAACGAGCTTTCACTACGGGAACGATAAATTATTAACTGGATTTTATGAACAATGTGGTACGCTAAGCGAAAATCAAAGAGCCATGGACTCAATTTTAGAGAAATATGTTTCACAAACTGTTCTATAGACGACATACTAATTGCCTGAAAAGGAACATTAGAAGAATATAAAGCAAGTGCGTACAGAATACTCAAAAATCTAGACAAAAACAAAAAAATTGGTGGAAAAAAACGTGCGTTTTACCGGAAAGAGATAGAATGACTGGGTTTCAAATTTTCAGAAGCAGGAGAAGGGTTTTTGGTTGGTAAAGTTGATGCAAAAAAAACCTTCCAATACCGAAAAAGTATTTCCAATTAAACTTTCTGATATCAGATAAGTTTGTGGCTAGAGGAACCAATACATTAAAGTTCTAATGAACCATTCATTTCTAAAAACAAAACCATTCACAAAAACTAGTGAACCATTGGGACAACAGTCACTCTTTTGCACTTGAAAAGTTAAAGTGAGAACTAGTTAATATAACTGAAAACAGCCAATTTGACATCAAAGAAAGAACAAGAATAACGACAAATTTCTCGCGTAATGGATTGGGGGCTACCTTAAAACAGTTTCAAGGAGGACAGTGGAAAACTGGTGCGTTTGCTTCAAGAATTTTAAGCAACCATGAAATGACATAGTCAACCATTAGAAAAACCTTGAATTTTTTTTAGCTCAAAATTCGAAATTGTTACTGATCAAAAGGCTTCACTGTCTGCTCTTTCAGCTAAAAACAGCAAGGAAAAGATGCATAGCAGATGAACCCTTTGAAGAAGAAAACGTATTCAAAGATGAATCTCTTCTTAGAGAACACGCGGCCTTAGAAAAACGCTAGAAGGTAGATTTGACATTACCAGCATTACCAATATTTCTAGAAGAACACTTCTCAAAGAACCAACTGCAAATTATCAACAAGGACGACGGAATCATATGGGACTTGATAACGACAATTAAAATCGGCTGGCCAATGGGAATTTATGGATTGTACATAAAAATTATGAGAAAGACCTTCACACAAGGTTTGAGCTCTTACTTCTGGATAAGAAATTTGTGGTTTCAGCAGCAATTTGCGGAGCCTTTCGTTCGATGCTTCACGAATCCGACCCAAGCGAGAGTTGGGCATGATTAATTTGGTGGAATCCTTTTAGTGCCCGCACATCTCCAGAGATCTACCACCCCGGCAGGTCTTGCAGGCATTGCTTGAAAACCTGTAACACCCTTCAAGTTTTGTTAGGATCGGACAACACGAGCAAAATTCCGGATTTGTCTTTTGCCAGCTAAAAGTAATTTTAGATTTCGCCGGAACATTGGACGCTTTTTGGTGAAAAAGGCAATACATTCCTCTATCTATCGACATTTTTATCAAAATTCTCTGTCAATTATTATTGTCAACTTCACGGCTTTCCAACAAATTTAGAGTCGACCACCGGTCATGCTCTCAAAAATTTGCGTGAAAAGTAAACTACTGGCTATGTCGTACAAATTATCCAATTTGACTTCAATTTCGTCAACCAGAAAGTTTAAGTGGAACTTGAGAATTACCAAAAAACCGTCCATGGGTTGTACTCCATTTGAAAACCGCTTCAAATGTACTGCTGATACTAAGTGGAAAACTTGATTTCTTTTGATAACCACTTAGATCAAGAAAAATAACTTTCGTCAGACCCTTGTGCGAAAAATTGGGGGTTTCATGATGGGGCAGAGGATAGATACACAAACATGGACATGGATTTTTTGTCTGATTCCCAAAATCAAACCCCTTTGGCCTCGATCTCCCTAGGAAACCGTCCGACCCCGATTCTACCAGCTCAACAAAAATAATCAGCGCAGACAAAAATAACTTCTGGAGGTAATTTTTAGAAAGAAAACCAATAGTAAAAACGAAGATCCTTTCAACAATTCCAACAACGAAGCATTAATTGACTTCTCGGAACATACGGCTTAACTTGAAAATGGACGCATTTTATGCAAATCGGATTGAATTGTTAAAGGGAAAATTTGCCTTAAAATTTCTTAAATCACCACCCATATGTAGCGATTCTAACAATCCACGAAATTTAGCCGTGAAAAAAATAGAGCTAATGGACTTGTAGAAAGACATATGTACTGTGAAAAGGAAACTACTGGCTATGTCGTACAAATTATCCAAATTGACTTCAATTTTGTCAACCAGAAATTTTAATTGGTACTTGAGAATTACCAAAAAACCGTCCATGGGTTGTACTCCATTTGAAAACCGCTTCAAGTGTACTGCTGATACTAAGTGGAAAACTTGATTTCTTTTGATAACCACTTAGATCAAGAAAAATAATTTTCGTCAGACCCTTGTGCAAAAAATTGGGGGTTTCATGATGGGGCAGAGGATGGATACACAAACATGGACATGGATTTTTTGTCCGATTCCCAAAATCAACCCCTTTGGCCTCGATCTCCCTAGGAAACCGTCCGACCCCGATTCTACCAGCTCAACAAAGTTAATCGGTGCAGACAAAATTAACTTCTGGAGGTAATTTTTAGAAAGAAAACCAATAGTAAAAACGAAGATCCTTTCATCAATTCCATCAACGAAGCATTAATTGACTCCTCGGAACATACGGCTTAACTTGAAAATGGACGCATTTTATGCAAATCGGATTGAATTGTTAAAGGGAAAATTTGCCTTAAACTTTCTTATATCACCACCCATATGTAGCGATTCTAACAATCCACGAAATTCAGCCGTGAAAAAAAAATAGAGCTAATGGACTTGTAGAAAGACATTTGTACTGTGAAAAGTAAACTACTGGCTATCTCGTACAAATTATCCAAATTGACTTCAATTTCGTCAACCAGAAAAATTAATTGGAACTTGAGAATTACCAAAAAAACCGTCCATGGGTTGTACTCCATTTGAAAACCGCTTCAAATGTACTGCTGATACTAAGTGGAAAACTTGATTTCTTTTGATAACCACTTAGATCAAGAAAAATAATTTTCGTCAGACCCTTGTGCAAAAAATTGGGGGTTTCATGATGGGGCAGAGGATGGATACACAAACATGGACATGGATTTTTTGTCCGATTCCCAAAATCAACCCCTTTGGCCTCGATATCCCTAGGAAACCATCCGACCCCGATTCTACCAGCTCAACAAAGTTAATCGGTGCAGATAAAATTAACTTCTGGAGGTAATTTTTAGAAAGAAAGACAATAGTAAAAACGAAGATCCTTTCATCAATTCCATCAACGAAGCATTAATTGACTCCTCGGAACATACGGCTTAACTTGAAAATGGACGCATTTTATGCAAATTGGATCGAATTGTTAAAGTGAAATTTTGCCTTAAACTTTCTTTTATCACCACCCATATGTAGCGATTCTAACAATCCACGAAATTTAGTCGTGAAAAAAATAGAGCTAATGGACTTGTAGAAAGACATATGTACTGTGAAAAGTAAACTAATGGCTAGTCGTACAAATTATCCAAATTGACTTCAATTTCGTCAACCAAAAAGTTTAATTGGAACTTGAGAATTACCAAAAAACCGTCCATGGCTTGTCCAATTTCGTCAGACCCTTGTGCGAAAAATTGGGAGTTTCATGATGGGGCAGAGGATGGATACACAAACATGGACATGGATTTTTTGTCCGATTCCCAAAATCAACCCCCTTTGGCCTCGATCTCCCTAGGAAACCGTCCGACCCCGATTCTACCAGCTCAACAAAAATAATCGGTGCAGACAAAAATAACTTCTGGAGGTAACTTTTAGAAAGAAAACCAATAGTAAAAACGAAGATCCTTTCATCAATTCCATCAACGAAGCATTAATTGACTCCTCGGACATACGGCTTAACTTGAAAATGGACGCATTTTATGCAAATCGGATTGAATTGTTAAAGGGAAAATTTGCCTTAAATTTTCTTAAATCAACACCCTTTTGTAGCGATTCTAACAATCCACGAAAATTAGCCGTAAAAAAAATTGTTTCCACTCAAGAAAGCTATCCCGACCCCTACTCTCCAGAAGACAATGGCAACAAGCAGAGCGACGTTGACGCTTGGTACTACCCAACTCTCACAGGAAACAGTTATCATCCCAGACTCATCGCGGATTACCTCAGTTTCTTCTTCTACATCTTCTTCTGTAAACCTAAATTCGTCGGACGGCTTGATAGACGACTAGTTCAATGACGTCTCTAACACAATTGCTCCGATCTGCCACGTCACTGATCATATTATTGATCTGAGTTTTACCGGTGACGGAAATGTGACACATCCAGACACTGAGGGCCTAAGCTGGTCTTTCAAACCAGCTTCCTGCGTGGAACTTCCACAATTGTTTCGTTACTAGAACCATTTCTGATTGACAGCTCAACGGAGTAGATATCTCCTACTGTTCCCCAGACGAAGCCAACGCCTAGCTCCAGACAAAACGCGGGACCTACACAAATCTACGGAGAGCGTAGATATGTCAACAAAAGAGCAGAAAAAGGTAGCATCGACGGGCAGAATTTTGACATGGTGGCAGAAAAGATAGCATCCCAGGCTCCATATGCACCATCGTACTTCCTGACCCTACATTCAAAGTATCTGCAGAAACGGATTCTGATAGCCGAGACGACACTCACCTGGTCCTCCAGCAAATCGAACCCAGCCGGGGCAGTACAACCATTATCCATGGATTCAGCAACGTTGAGTTCACTCAGCGAAGCTAACTCCGTGCGGCATAACAGCGAAAAAAGCCATGGATAATACCAGCGAAATCTCTTCGACGATTGAAGAGGAACTGAGAAAGGCTTTAGAAGAATTTGACATTAGATTCAACTACAGTTCACTTTTCCAGCAGTACTTTATCTTAGCTTTTTTTTTATAATTAACACTAAACTGTTCTTCATCGGCTCTTCATCCACTTGAAGCATTTCTTCTCTCTTTTTCAGCGACTCAATTTTTGTACATTTTTATGTGTACATTGTGTAGTTTTGTTTCTTTTTTTTTCTTAACCTTTGTAGGCTACCCAAATTCTGTAAATTCACCCATTAAAACAATTTTTACCTATCAATCCCAAATGTAGTTACATATATTCGTTCTGTCTGTTTCCTTTTTTTTGTGCCGCTTGTAAACCTTATTCATCCTACTTAGAAGGGGGAGATCGGTGTATACAGAAAAATTTTAGATTAATTGTAAACTTTTAATTTATCTTTTCGGGGAGTGTTGTGATTTGTTTCATTATGTTTTAGGCTTACGACCTTCGATATTGATTAGATACCTGCCAACTATGTCATGAGGTGACCATCGGTCGATAATTTCACTGTACGTATTAGTTTGAGAACAGACATTTTATTTAACACTTTTTCATTCTTATTGTTTCAATCTTTTTGTTAGTGTACTTAGACTGTCCATACCAAGATTTACTATCCTAACATTTTCTTACTTTCAGTAAAATGTGTTCGCTTTTTCTAATTATGCAGCTCAAAATATAGCAAATCATTTTCGAGATCTATTAAGAATATAAAGAAATCTGACTCTAATTTGAGATTTGACCCAAACTAGAGGGCGCTGACAAACGGTTGATGTATTAAGAAAAAAGTATGGTAATCAAGAAAGTTATGTTTTTTTGGTTTGAAGCTGTTTGATGTTAAATTTTACCAGAGAAAAACTGTCTTCTTCTTTATTGCGTTCCTTGCGTCTCTTGTTGCACAAAATCAGAGCCAACGCGCCAACCACCAAAATAGCTGTTGCGAATCTTACTATTCGTCTTATTTCATTTAATTAGTTTTAAAGTTTCTTAACTGGTTAATTTAGATATGACCTTGTTATCTTCATTCTCTCCGACGGAGAGAATGACCGTTCACTTTTTTAATGTTTTAACTCAGAGATTAATTCATTTTTTAAACTTATCTTATTTGTAACTAAGTAGAATTAACCGTAACAAAGGAACATTTTATCATGGCGCAGTCAAACAGCAACGAATCAAACGTGAGAGGTATACCTTCATTTTGGCAGAACCACACAGTGGACCCACCAATTCCTTGGGAAGAGTGGAGCGATCTATTCCAGCTAGCGATAATCGCAAAAGAGAATATCGACATCGAAAATCTCTTGAATCCAACGGAACGATATCACCCACCTCCCCCAACATTGGAAAATCCGCCGGAAAACGAATCCGACGCTCAAAAAACATCACGCATCGAGAGGAATATCCAAGAACAAAAGAGATTCGATGATGAAGAAATGGCCTCAATAAAGTTAGAAACCAAGAAATTCAACGGTATGAGACTGGAAGAGGCGGACAAAAAACTAAGATCCATACTTTATCTAGCCCTTGGAAACGAAGGAAAGAAAATATTCGGCCAGAAGTTCACAAGAGTCAAAGTTCTACAAATTTCTTTCAAAGAATTTTGGGACAATTTGTCCACAGCTTTTGTGAGAAAAACAAACATAACCTTCGAAAGACACAAACTCTTAAACAGAAAACAGAGGGACAGAGAATCATTAGAACAATTCTGGGGGGCACTGGCTGAAATGGCAAAACGATGTAACATTCCCACAGGAGAAGATGAATGGATTAGAGATATTTTTATTAATAACATGAAGAATTCAGATATCCAACGGAAACTTCTCACGGAAACATTACCGCCACTAGAAGCCTTAAACGTAGCCCTGATTGATGAAAAAGGAATTACAAACCACATGAAGATGACGAGTACTTTTAAATCCAGCGGATATTCTTCCAACAAATCTTTTAATCATTTTAATGTAAAAAGAGAACCCACCCTAAACATCGAAAGAAACAACACATGTATGAAATGCGGCGGAATCTTTACAAAAGGACATCTAGCGGTTTGCCCGGCTAAAGATACAACATGTACGACTTGTAAATATCGAGGACATTTTACTAGACTTTGTAAATCACGCCGTAAAAATGTAAATATTGTGGATAGACAAATTGTAAATAATACGGATCATCATTATCCTTCGGAACAACCAGATGTACATATTGACCACGCTAATAGAGAATGCTGTGGAGTAATAAATGCATGGTCAGAGTCAGGACAAAGCGATAACGACGATTACTCAGTATTAAACGTAACAACTATCTACGATGATCAAGGAAAGGAGATAAAGAAACTACTAAATATCGGCTTAGGAAATGAAAACCAAGTAATTCTGAACATACAGGTGGATTCAGCAAGCCCTGTAAGCTTCCTTAAACAGAATGTATTACACGAGTTGAGACTACGAGACCCCTACGTGAAAATATATCCAGTGGATAAAGCTACCAAGGAACTCTATTGTGGATTTACGAACAATGCAATAAATATCACTGGAAAAGTAATTGTCCCAATTTTCTCAAATGGATGGTCCCACAAGGAATGCCACTTCTTTCTAACTCAAGGTCATGAAAGAAACATCTTGGGAATTGACAATTTACCAAAAGTCGGAATCGAAGTTTCACAAAAACAATACGCAACACTCACCAACAAGAGAACTTGTAAGTTTATCAATTCCGTTATTTCACTTGACATAGATCATGAAATAGAAATGAGTGGAAAAACCTTCAAACAACTATTCCTTCGGATTGGAAAAATAAAGAATCAAACAAAAATAACACATTTTCATGAACCATTAAAGCCAATTCAACTAAAAGGCAGGAGGGTCCCTTTACACTTACTAGACTCAGTAAAAACAGAATTATACAGGCTTAAATCCGAAGGACACATCAAAAAATTAGAAAACTGTGACGAGGACAGATTTATTAGTCCGATAGTTATTACTTGTAAAAAAGACAAATCGATAAAGCTAGCCCTTGATTCAAAATTCATCAACAAACAAATATACAAGAACAAATATCAGATGCCTAATATACACGAATTAGTTGATAACGTGGCGGCTCAAATTTCGGACAATTCCGCCGGAGAAGTATGGTTTACAAACCTAGACCTAAAGAACGCATATAGTCAACTCGCACTGGACAATTTTACTAGCAGCCAATGCAACTTTAGTCTAGTCGGCGGAGATATAACAGGCACTTATCAATTTTTAACGGGTTTTTACGGACTCGGCGATATGCCAAACGAGTTTCAGAGAGTCATGGACTCAACTTTGGGAAACATTCCTTTTACAAATTGCTACCTCGACGATATATTAGTCGCTTCCAAAGGAAGTTTTAACGATCACAAGAAAATCGTTTACAAAATTTTATCAACGTTAGACACTTACAATTTCGCAGTTAAATGGTCGAAGTGCAAATTCTTCCAAAAAGAAATTGAATGGCTCGGTTTTAAAATATCGAAATCCGGAATCGCCCCATTATTCGATAAAACCAAGGCAATCAAAGATATTCCAATTCCAAAGAATCTAAAAGAATTAAGATCATTCTTCGGGTCAACTAATCAGTACATTAAATTTGTACCAAATTTAGCATCCCTCGGAAGCCCGCTTAGACCTCTTCTAAACAAGAAGTCAATTTTCCTTTGGAATGAAGATCACTCAAAAGCATTCGATAAGATTAAATCAGAAATAGTAAATCTTACCGAAAACACACACTTCGACGTAAAAAAGTCCACGAGAGTAAAAACCGATGCTTCACACAATGGGTTAGGTGCATCCCTCGAACAACTCCATGAAAACGTTTGGAAAACAGTGTCATTTGCTTCAAGATTTTTAAATCCTCATGAATCCAAATATTCAACAAACGAATTAGAGTTATTAGGAGTTGTATGGGCGGTGGAACATTACAAAAATTATCTTTACGGTTCCGAATTCGAAATTATTACCGACCACAAAGCTCTCCTTTCCGCTCTGTCACCTAATCACGGAAACAAAACGTACCATAGCCGATTGACAAGATGGGTAGATCGTCTTCTACCATTCAATTTTACTATCAAACATTTAGCGGGAAAAGATATGGGTTTTACCGATCTAATTTCAAGAAATCCTTCGGGTAAAGCAATTTCCCCATCCCATTACGACGAAGAATTCGTAGTTGCAACTACCAAAAAATATATAATGCACTCAATCCTTTGGATAATGAAAATCCATTACGTAATTCAATTAATTCAATTTCGGAAAATTCCCAGTACATGAAATTACGAAATCACGTAATAATTACAGCATTGAATTTCGTCAATTCTTCCATCTCAATCTGCAATCAAAAACACTATAGAACAGAATTTTGTAACTCTAAATGTATTCCCTCGGATTTCTCAAGCACAGATTCTACTAAAATCCTTCTATCAAATTCAGCCTTTATTTATTTTTTAATTATTAACAGTAGCTTAATTAGTAATCCTTCGGATTTCAAACTTATAAATAGTGTAAATATGTCGAATAACCAAATTGTAGTAAATCCTTCCACTTCCGGAATACAGGTCTCTATTGATTTCCAAATTTCCTCAGAGCACAAAAAGTTAGTAACCAAATTTCGAGAAAACCTCAAGTTACCTGAAAGACCTTTGGATTTAAATACTTTATTCAATGCAAAGTTGGTTGCTTTATTAACGAAAGATGATGAGATGTTAAACCCAATTGTGAAAGCTTTACAGAAAAAAGTAGAAAACATCAACGCAAATTCCCGTTACTTACACCAATTTTCGAAAGACCTCGATGAATCCGACGGACTATTATATATGGATGGAAAATTGGTTATTCCGTTTACACTTAGAAACGCCGTTCTAAAAACTTTACACGAATCACACCCTGGCCAATTCGGTATGAAATACCTGGCACAATATATTTGGTGGCCACATATAAACCGACAAATTTATTTCCACGGGGTTAATTGCACACAATGCACACAAACTGGTAAGAATATAAAAAGCATCATACCAACTACACAAATTAGCGAACTTCCCACTTTATTTGAACCAAATGAGGAATTAAACCTTGATTTTGCCGGTCCATTAGATAACAACTGGGGAAACAATAAATACATCTTATTATGTATAGATCGTTTTTCAAAATTCCCATCAGCAAAAATTACTTCTTCAACGTCATCAAACACGGTAATTGAATTCCTTCAAGATTATTTTTATCTCCATGGGGTTCCTAATTCCATTCGTGTTGACCACGCATCCTGTTTTACTAGTCAGGATTTTAAATTGTTTTGCAATTCTCTTAATCTCAAATTAATATTTTGTACAGTTGGGGATCATCGTTCTAACGGTCTTGTAGAAAAACTTGTTCATACTGTAAAAATCAAATTATTAGCAATGTCTTTGGAACAACAAAAACCTACATTACAAATTGCCATTTCGAAAATCATTTGGAATTTACGATCTTCCTTCCAATCAAAAATAAAATGCTCACCGTTCGAAATACACTTTAATAGAAAACCGAACACGATCTGGAAGCAATTGGCATCTAATAAATTATCCGGTGGATTTTTAGACAAAAGGAAGTCGATCTTAAGCAGAGAAAGGGCCCTTGACTGGAATGCTGACGATTGGATAGAGGACGGGTACAAAGACCTTCTAGTACCGAAAAAGAACCAGTCACCACTGGAGAAAGGCTACGACTCAGACCTTCCAACAACCTCAAAACCTTCATCTTCTCGAGTGGCCTTAAACAGTCCGTTTAAAGGTAATTTACTACGAAAATCCAACGGAAGTATAAACGGAAATCCCTTCTATAAACAACTAGGTCAGAAAATAATAAACTCAACAAAATCCACGGTTGAACTATCCGACGGAAAAAATCATTAGAAAATCGGACATCGCCATCCCAAAGTCTAA